CAGCCAGAAGGGCCAGCGCACTCAGCAGCAGCAGCGGCACCCCACGCACCCACGCAGGACTGTCGCTGGCGTCCGCCGCGTTGCGCATCAACGCCCTCCCATTCTTGCCGGACCGAGCCGCGCCCTGGGAAAGCTGCTTCCAGTCCTGCTCTGCCAGAACCCTTTCATACTCAACAGAATCCTTTGCTTCATCCGCTTGATCATTGGCTTTTTCAACAGCACTAACTACGGTTTTGGCGTATTTCTCAAGCTCTGCAGCGGGTTTCTCCATGTGCTTCTTGTTTTCCTGTGCCCTATTGGCGAATTTCAACGTAGTTTCAAGATTCAGCGCAATATAGGCAGTGATGTTCGATGTATCAGCACCGTTGAGGGGCACGCCGTCAGCCCTCTCTTCTTTCTCGACTTTGTTGAGCGTCGCCACCTTTCCGACGGCCTGTGTTGCCATGTAGGCCGCGGTAGCCGCCTCCCTCGCATTCTTCGCTGACTCCAATGCCTTTGTCGCGATCTCCTCCGCCTTCTCCGCCGCAACCTCGGCGCTAAGAGCAGCAACAGTGGCCTGTGTTGCCGCGGAGCTAACCGACTTCACGGACGCCTTCGTGGACGATGACGACAAACTTGACAGTTGCCGTGCTTTGTGTGCTTTCGCTTGCGCCTCGACCACCGTCTTCCGTGCCTTCCGTGCCTCGTCCAGCGCCCGCTTGGACCGGTTCTCGACCACCTCAGCCTTTCTTTTGGACTCAAGAGCCTTTTTCACAACCTCTTCGTGTTTCTTCGCTATATCGTTACCGGTACCACTTTCGTGTTCACTCCCGTTCAGCAATTCCGCAGACTTCGCCATGTCCTTCTCAAAGTCGTCTTTTGTGGTCATCACTTTCGTTGCCATCTCCGTTGCTTTACCCGCTTCTCTCGTGGCGTCCTTTGCTGCCTCTTGTGCTTGCTCCGCTGCGTCCTTCGCCTGCTTCACTGCTTCATCTGAGTTCTCTACCGACTCCTTCACCAACTTTACTGCCTCCAGGACTGCCTCCTTTTCCATCTCGTCCTTCGCCTCAGCCATGGCAATCGGGACCTCCCTGGCCTGCTGCGTCGCATTTCCAGCACCGTGCACCACAGCCGCCGCGTCAGCCACCACCAGTGTGGCGTTGCCCATCGCCAGTTGGGCCCACTCGCTTGCATTCTTCACACTCGCCCTCGACTTCTCCGCGCTCAAGACCGCCCCAGCGGCAGCCGCGGCCGCATTGAAGGCCTCGCGAGAGGCGCTTCTGTCGTTGAATGCGTAGTCTGCCCTGGAGTGATACACCGCAAGCTCCGCATGCTGCAACACCGAAACCACCTTGTTCTTCGCCCTCAAACCGGCTGCCGTGGCCTCCGTGGCGTAAACAACCGCCTGCTTCGCGTTCTGCGCCGCTGCCTCTGCCCTCTTCACAGCCAGCTGTGCTCGCGCCACTGCCTTCGTGGCGGTTGCTGCCGCCTCATTTGCCCTCGCTTCTGCCTTCTTGACTTTCAGCTTTGCAGCGTCAGATTTCATGTCCACCCTCTTGGCATCCTCAGCCGCCTCTTTTGCCATTTTGACGGCCTCCTCTACCCTCGCCAGCGCATTCTTCGCACTTGTGGCTGCTTCATTGGCTTTCTTCTCGGCCTCCGTGGCCTTCTCCACCGTCAGGTTGGCCTTGATCTCCGCCATGTCGGCGTGGAACGCGGACTCCGTGGCCTTCTTCTTGGTCAGCCTCGACAGCCGCTGCACCTCCCCGCGGTTCGGGCGCCCCATGGCACTCTTCGCCGCACCATCAGCGCTGTCCTTCGCCTCCCGCACTCTCGCCAGTGCCAGGGCAGCGTCCCGCATGGCCTCGGTCGCCTTCTTCACCGCATCCTCGGCGTACCCCGCCGCATCCTTTGCATACGTCGCCATACGGTTCGCTTCCGCCGCTGCTGCTATGGCCCCCGTTGCAGCCTCCTCGGCCTTCTTCGACGGGTCAGCAACGGTCGCAATCTGTGACTGCGCCTCGGTCCGGAGACCCCCATCTGCCGTGGTGCTTGAAGGGCTCAGTGTCGTCTTCGGTGACACCGCAGCATTTTCTGTAGAGCCTGCTCCTGCTGCTGTAACGCACAGGGATGTGCAGCAGAAGGCGATGGACACCACGAACAGTACGTGGCGCAACATCATCGTATTCTTGTTGCCTTGGTAGCTTGAGGTTGCTGATGGCTGAGAGGAGTCAAGGCGAACAGCATGCAACACACACACACACACACACACACAGCGGGGAGAGCAGCACCACACAGACCACCCACCAACAGCAGCAGCAGCCCGACATGCAGACCGCAGTGCCACACTCCAAAAACAGATCCATTTAAAATCTGTTTAGATTCAGTGCGCGACGCGCATCGATGTGCCAAGTAAAACCCATTACAACAATGAGAGAGGTGCGCCGTCCTCGTTGGATACAGAGCACAGGGAGTATCCTCCAAGGGGGATTAGGTGGCGCGTGGAAAAAAAACAAGAAACAAANGCAGACCGCAGTGCCACACTCCAAAAACAGATCCATTTAAAATCTGTTTAGATTCAGTGCGCGACGCGCATCGATGTGCCAAGCAAAGCCCATTACAACAATAAGAGAGGTGCGCCGTCCTCGTTGGATACAGAGCACAGGGAGTATCCTCCAAGGGGGATTAGGTGGCGCGTGGAAAAAAAACAAGAAACAAAAAAAAAGAGAAAAGGGCTGCAGCAGCCAAGGAGGTTGGCCTGCAGGGGTGCACACACACACAGCGGAGAGAGCAGCACCACACAGATCATCTCCCAACAGCAGCAGCAGCCCGACACACACACACAGAGTTGCAGCACACACGCAAGAGAGGGACGAAGAGGGAGCAAATGATTGGGCGGGGGTGCACGGCAATGCGCGGAACAAAGTCCTCCCCCCCCCCCCCC